CTACAATCCCTCAGGCACATATTTATATAATATGCATTATCATTATATAATTGCTAGATGTAAAATACTAAAATATTATATTCAAATGTGTTTTTATTCTAAAATATTCATCTTTAATGAACAAATATAGCAAATCACAGATTTTAGGAAAGAATTCAATTCATATTTAAATGTGGATAAACAAGTTTAGAAGAAATTATGTGTTTATCAGTAATATAATTGCCTGCTTACTTTTTTCAAAACTTTAAGAATTCTTTTAATCTATATGAATTAACTTTACATAGATTAGGGAGAAATGATACAGTTTTTTTCTCAAAATATTTTCTGCTCTTTCAATTTACTGGCTTTATTTTTAAGATGCAAAAAGAAAGAATCACACACAAATAGCATTTTCAGGGCATCTCTTCAGATCACTTATGCAGCTTTCATTCAGACATGTTCAGAAAGTGTATGCCAAGGATCAGAGCATCTCCTAAAAATACTCAAATCTCAAAAAGAAGCAAGATAATGGCTCTCGGCTTCAGTCTTAAGTGTTTGATAACAAAATACTGTACAAAACATAGCACTGAGCTTTATAGTGCCTGATAGTCAATTTACAAATTAATATAAACTTTTCTCCAATAGCATAAAAGAAATTAGTCAGTGAAAGTTGAATTTAGTCATCTTACTTGAGCACTTTGATGACATAAATCTTAAGAATACTAGACAGGGCATTTTTTTTTTTTTCATTTCAAACTGGTCTACTAAGCCACAACTAATTTCACAATAAATTTTACATTGCATAGCTACTAGTAAAATAGTTAAAAAGTGGACAAGAGGAAGTCTAAATTATTCACCTCTGATTTATGAGTATTTCATTTTATTCAAGGTAAAATTTTTGTTGATATTCAGTAATGTATAATTATTTTTGGTACTGGGAATCGAACTCAGGACCTTGCTCTTGCGAGGCAAGTGCAGCATCTCTGAGCTAAATCCCTAATCCAGCAATCTAAAATTTTACCCCAATAGAATGTTGTACATCTCATAAGTCTATGATGAATGCAAATTTAATATTCTATGATGTCAATGAATGGAAAAATGCAAGTATTCGAATGGAAGCAAATCTTAATTTAGGTTATCTCCCAACAAGCTGTTAGCTATTTCAAAAAAATTTAAATACTCAATCCATAAAATTCAAAACCATCTTGAGATATTTATAATATGCTAGACTTTTATCATATCTTTGAATTTAGAGCTTGAAATTTCTTAAAATTATTTTTGGTTTTTAGCAAATTGGCAGAGCTGCTGACTTTAAAAAATTGTAAAATCTCTGAAAAGATTATGAGTCTTTTATTTTAATGTTCATTGTATGTATCATTTCCAGGAAAAGTAGTTAAAATTAGGCTTCTATATTCATATAGATGAAGGCAGCTTAAAGGCAATTTAGCTCATTCTTCTGTGTTAAGCAATGACTATTTCCTCTGAGAAACGTCAGACTGATAAAAATCAATCCTGTTTTTCAGACTTCTGTAACAAGCAACTGCAAGACTTCTTTATCTAATAGCTATGTGAAAATTCTTTGTATGAAAATTATTTTTCAGTTTAACTCTACGACAAAAGTCTTGAAAGACATTTCAGAAATAATTCATACAAAGCAGTTTTTTTTTAATAAAAGAAAGTAGCTGAATTATTTAGACCACTTTTAGCTATTTTATTTTTAAAGATCTTTGGAAGCTTACCAGAGAAATACCACTCAAAGTTCACATCATGAGGAACAAAAGGTGAGATTTTTCAGACAAATATTCTGAGACACACCTGGAAAAAAATGGAACACATTCATTTTCTAAATATATAGTCTTGGACAAGTTATTTCAAATCTGATGCTCGGTTTTTCATCTTTAAAATGACAAAAATAATGTATCTTCATATCTTTATTATGACTTAATTGCTATAATTTAATTAAATTCTTAACAAGGTATATTTATTTATAATATTGCCATTGATTTCCTTAGATTGTACTAAATTTAATTTTCTAAAGAGGCCATCTAAAGAAGTGTATATATTGAATATTCATTTTTAAGATGTGATTAAGAAAGTAAAATGGTAAGAAATAAAATATTTCCATGTTAATTTATAACTACTGCTTCATACATTAGTTGGGGATATTAATAGTTTGAACTATACTTAAAAAAAAATTAACAAAATGTAATGTTCCTCAGGCAAGGATCTTGTCTACAAAAATTTCTAATGACTTTTCAAACTCTGTTTAAAATTTTCCCAATAGGATGTACTCATTACTTCTGTAAACAGGTGAATCTGTCTTTAGATAACTATAAATATTAAGAAATGTATGCCAATAATTAATTGTACATCCCTACTATAATTTAAATCAATGTGAACTGGTTATTTCCTTATGTTTTGACTCCCCCAACCCATAATATTCCAGTTAATCTGCCAAACACTGAGTTAGGGCAAAGAATTGCTCTTTCTTTTTCTGATCCTCTTTCTTTCTGTAAAGGCAAGTTTCAAATAAAAGCCAATTCTAGTTACTATATTAGCCAATGGCAGACATAATGTATAGTGTGTCCTATCACTTCAATGTTGGTGTAAAGTAAATGATGTGATTTTATTATAGAAATAGAGTTGGTTCAGGGCTACCTCAAATCACAAAATAAGGAAAGTTTCTTATTCTACCTTCTCATGAGGGGTCTTACCGCTTGACACAGATTTTCCAGATTTCTTAAATTTTTGAAAGGATTTTTGTTTTAGATTCAAAAGACAATGGCTATTTCTGTCAGCATATCAGAAGAGTAGGGACTTTCTCATCTCAGGTGAAAAAAAAAAATGCCTGGAGAAATTCACAAATTGTCACAAAGACACATTCTTAACTCAACAGCAAAGGCCTCTCATTATTTTATGTATTCATCCTTGGCTCTAGGCCCATTTTTGCATTTTCAGATCAATGAACCCACATTGAGTTGTTTTTAGTGGGGATGAGGTGATATTTCAGATAACAGTAAACCTATGCTGGAGTTATCATCTTATTTATACTGATTAAATACTAATGGACAGGAAAGGACAGTTTTATTTTCTTTCACATTGAAAAAGACGCATTACTAGAAATTTATGAGCCCTATGGTAGAATAGAGAATTTCCTAATAATAACATTAGAAGCATCCAAGTTGCCTTTGAAATATGTGTTTATCCTCTTTTTGAGTGTTAATTTCTATGCAATCACAAATTTAATTGCAACTTAAAATTAGTAGGCAGGTGTCTGCCTGAGTGAGCCATCCAAATTCAATAGTGCCTAATGGCTATTTGATAGGCATCATCAATACAATATGTCTTTTCAAGCAAATACCTGTATCATGCAGTCATTTGAAATTAATACTCATTATATTTTAACCCAAAGGGTTAATCACTGTCCTTTCTTTGAGGATGGAATTGAGAACAGCTCATGCAAGTGTGAGCTATATTGCTGGGTACCTGGGTTACTGTGATTAAAACAATGGCCTTCAGTTTGCAGTGTCATCAGCTAGTACGTGTCAGTAATATCAAATTCATTTTTTAGAACAGAACCATATACCCATCTTCCATTGCTATTACTGCAGAGGAGGAGAAATGGAGAAGTAAAACTGAAACATTTCAAGGATGAATGGGTACTGAAAATTGGTAAAGTGGCCGGAAAGTTCAAGTTTGAAAAATGTGGAAGTAAATGTGTGTAGAAAAAGTAGTTTGGTAAACAGGAAGGAAAAAAATGATATTTTGAAAAACATCTGTTTGCTGTTGCTGAAAATTTTACATTTAAATGTCCTCATTTGGGCTCTGAAGTTAGCACTTCCTTGAAGTACTTCACACCTTTGCTATTGCTCCTGTTCAGCTACAGATCAGTTTATGCAAGGCTGATTTTAACAAGAAAATGGTGCATTAATTTACAATGTGTTAAGTATTTAAAAAGTGGCAAAATCTAGGGCTTTGTGAAATTTTAGAATCTGGAGAAAATAGAAATACTTATGTAAAGCTCTTTAAAATACCAGAATAGCTTCATGCACAAGAGAAGTACACCCTGATTAAAATTATTATAAAATTCCTTTTAAAATAATTATACCAACCACTAAACTAATGGGTTGTCTATGACTCTATGGAGTCTCTGTTCAGAAATAAAGCAGATACAGTCTGAGTTAGTGTTTAGATTTACTTTATTATAATCTCTCTCACTCCCTTTTCTGACTCATACCTTCTCTCTGCCTTAGCTTCCTTCTCATTTTTTATCACTTTTCTTTTTCTTTCCTACTTTTTATCCATTTTCTATCTTGCCCATTGCATCTTTTTTTTTTTTTTTTTTGGTTTAAAGTATTTTATTTGTGTCTCTGGAAAAAAAAACTTGGTAATGAGAACCTATTTACAATTAACTTATCTCGCTCAGAGCAATTACTATTTGGAGTTTTATATTTCTGAAATATCTTAATATTTCAGATTCAATTAAGAAAAAATGGTAGCGCATTCTAGTTATTTTATATCTATTTTTATAAATTTCTATAAATTGACAATATTGAACTCACAGGCTAAACTGATTCAAATTTGTGAATTCTGTTTCAAAGTTTAACTGAGTAAAATCTAAATTAAAATTGTATTTCTGAATTTAAATTCTTTTATTTTAAATAACAAATATTGAAGCTGTAAGGGAATATCCTCTGGTATACTACTTTTCCTTAGCAAAGTACTATGACAATTGAGTATCCAAATTGAAATGATATAAACAGAATGTGAGTGCTTTACAGATTTAAAATATGTGTAGTAGAGAATGGAAATTGTGCTTGTTTCACACATTTGTGGCAGATTTTAGCTGTAAGGTATAGATGGACCAGGAAAAGAAACTAGTGGTAGTTTTATTCTTCTTTCAATACTTTTGTGATGAAAAATTAAGGTAAAGACAGATATTAATACAAGGCAAGAAAACCATTGATAACAGTGGCATAATGTAATCAAATGACAGCCTAAGTTCATGGATAGGAGTGGAAACAGGTTAGCAAATCCTAAGAATTATTGAGTTTATATTCTAAAGTATGCTGTGCTCAGCTTTAACCCTAAGATGCTTTATTATTAGTTTCCAGTCAAAACCATTGTACCTACTGTACCACCCACACTTGAATTGACAGGCAGCCCCAGCACTGTACTGCACCACTCCATTAACTCTTTCCAGAAAATTTAAGTAAGGAACTTAAAACAGTATTTCATGGAATTCTGATAGTTTGCCATACTTACAGCAACATTCTTCAATATATATAAGGGGTTATTTTAAATAAAATAGAACTTATATGAAAACAAAGATGGCTAGAAATACAGAATATGGATGGATACATAATGAGAAAATTGAAATAGTGAATAAAAGACTGAATTGTTCATCTGAGAAACATATTTGTAGAACTTATGCCATAGTCAGCTCAGACTTTTTAAAAAATTTTAAAATAATGTTACAACATTTGATTTGTAAATGTACTGCATAACTTAGACTAAGTAAAATTTTATAAGTAATGAATAAAAATACTTCTTTTAAAGGAGTGTGATTTTTTTTGTGTGAAGCAAAAATTTTGGAATCATGCTCATATGGAGAGATCAAAATAGGAAAAGGTCCAAAGGTGGAGGGGTGGCAGGAGGGGAAGGGGAAAGGAAGAAAGGAAAGGAAAAATTATGTGAAAGAAAAAAAAAATGGAAACAAAGTCTATGTAAATAGGGGAGGGTGGAGGGAGTGAAGGGCGCATAGGTAATGGGGAAAAAATAAGAACTAAGATACACCATGTACAGGTACAAGCACCCAATGATAAATGTAAATGTATTGTATTCCTAAAATGTACCAATTAATATATTTTAAAAAATACAAAGCTGCAAATCTCAAAATACAAATGTAGTTTACTGAAACTCTGAAAACAGAGAAGCAGCAATAGAATAGCATACTCTGATGAAGTTAAATGATTAAACATCTCCCTCATCTTTTCACTTCTTAGCACATGTTCACATTAGGCCAAGAATATACTTTATACTTAGAATGCAGATCAATCATGGTTTTATTGCTTTCTTTCAATTTGTCTATGTATCAGATTTTCTTGCTTAGTCTCTTATCCACTTCCTGTTCTTTGTCAACAATGGTTTTTATTGGTATTTTTTTCTGTTTACTTTTGTCATTTTGGCACATTGCTTTGCCACCTGTACTACAATTTCAAAACAATGCAAATAAGCAAATATGCATGCATAATCATAAATGTGTCTGTGCCTATATCCAAATTTTTTCCAAATTTATTCCAAACTTATCGAGTGCTACCAAATCTGCATAGAGTAATTCCATATTTACTCATTATATCTGTAATTTATATATATTCTATTACTTAGGGGAAAATATTTAATACTCTTCCTGGCTGAGAATTCTTCTGAAAAAGAAGCATTAAATGATTGGAAATGTAAAATAAAGTCTCTGGAGAATGAAAATTGAAAAGGGTCCAAAACTGTACTTTTTTTTAAATACTAACCTATGTTGGTTGATTTTTAAACAATTTCCTTCAGTATGAAAACAACTTTTCTATAATCTGCTATTTGAAATGAAGGCTTTAATGATGCAAACATATTTCCATCAGACCACTATTGGGCTCAGTTAATAAAATATTTTTGATGAAGACCTCAATGAAGCAACTTTCTTCCACCTGACAGTGGCAGTTCATTCTTGCAGTAGCAGTTAGTGCCAATTTGAGTTTGTCCTTTATTCTCAAGGTAAGACCCTTAATATCCCTTAAAGAACAAGGAGCTGTCTGCTGAGCGTTTTT